TCGCAACCCTTTACGGTACGTAGTCGTGAACTGATAGTCCTGGAGGACTTCCAACCACCGCGACAATTGGCCCGAGGGCTGGGCGACCCGCAATGAATACTGGAGCGCCGCGTGGTCCGTCCGGACCGTGAAATGACGACCATAGAGATATGGCCTGAATTGTTGTACAAAAAAAACAATGGCAAGCAGTTCGCGACGGGTGACGCAGTAGCGCTGCTCTGCCGGCGACAACACCCTGCTACCATAGGCGACCACTCGTTCGACCCCTCCAACAACTTGGGACAGCACTCCCCCAATGCCCGTGTTGCTAGCATCCGTGTCTAGCAAGAAGGGACTCGCGAAGTCCGGATAGCGCAAGGGTGGGGCCCTAACCAAGGCGTCCCGGAGGGAGCAGAATGCAGCCTCCTCCTCCGGTCCCCATCGGAACTTCACTCCTTTCGCCGTTAGAGCGTGCAAGGGTTTTGCAATGGTGGCGAAGTGCTCAACGAATCGGCGATAATACGAAGCAAAACCGATGAAACTGCGTACGTCTGACACTGACGTGGGCGTCGGCCACGAACTGACACAGTCCGTCTTCGCAGGATCGGTAGAAATCCCCGAAGAGTCGACAATGTGACCCAATTACCTCACGGATTTACGAAAAAGGTGGCATTTGGCCGGTTTAAACTTTAATTTAGCCGATCGCATTCGCAAGAACACCCCTCTAAATCGCTGGAGGTGTTCTTCGAACGTTTTACCGAAAACAATGACATCGTCAAGGTAAATGAGGCACGTATCCCACTGCAAGCCCGACAAAACCAATTCCATAAGACGCTGAAACGTCGCCGGAGAGGAGTGAAGTCCCATGGGTAACCGGTTAAACTGAAACAGGCCCCCTGGAGTCCGAAATGCAGTCTTAGGCTTAGACTCTTCGTCGAGTGGCAACTGCCAGAATCCGGATAATAAATCAAGAGTCGAAAAGTATCGCGCACCAGACAATGCGTCGAGAGACTCGTCCATCCTGGGGAGCGGATACGCGTCGGCCACAGAGATCTTATTCAGGCGACGGAAATCGACGCAAAATCGCAGGGACCCGTCCTGCTTTTTAACGAGCACAATAGGTGCTCCCCAAGGACTGGAGGAAGGCGAAATAATGTCGGCTTCTAGCATATCGTTAACTGCCGACTGAACAAGTTCCTTCTCAGCAGGACTCAGTCGGAAGGGATTTTGCCTGACCGGTGCCGCATCGCCCGTTTCAATGTGGTGGCGTAGCAGGTCCGTGCACCCAATGTCATACTTATGTTTACTGAAGACATCCGAAAATTTAATCAGCAACCCGCGCAGCGCACCCAACTGTACCGCTGACAAATCGTCAGAGTCCGCGCACAGCGAATCAACCCAATCGAGGTCCTCCTTCAATGTTACGTTTTTCGTGGGACTCGGATCAGCCTGCGCAACCAGCCTCTCCTCTGCAGGGACCCGCGCCGCGTGAGCTAGCACGGTGCCCTGCTGAATGACGGCCGGCCGCGCCCCAGCGTTCAAAACCATCACAAACGGATCCCTGTCAGCCCCCACCAAAGTGTGAGCCACCGACAAATCGAGACCTCCAACAGCCCTATTAGAAGGACCCAAAAGCATGCCCTGTTCCGAGGCCTCCTTCACCCATGGCTTCCGCAACCGGAGGGGAATTAACATTTGTGAACCCGGGGGCACGTGCACGGTCTGTGTCGCTAACGCCTGTATGGTAGCGCACGCCGTCCGAATTTCATTAGGGCTCGTCAAAAATGAAATACGGCGACCCGATGGTAGTTCAATGCAACGCTGATCAATGAGAATTTTGATGGGCATTTTTGCCAAAAAATCAGTGCCCAATAGACAAGGGACCGCCAGGGAGGACGAAACGAAAACGGGTCCCGACAATTTGATATCACCAATGCAAATGGACGCCCTAATCTGACCGATAATGCCCAACGATCCCCCGTTAGCGGCGTAAAATGGCACATCCACCGGAAGAAGCGGACGACATTGTACAGGGAGAATATTATAAATGAGATCCGATATAATAGTCGCCGATGCCCCCGTGTCCACTAACACCCTGACCTCGACCCCATCAATAGATCCGGTAACGACGGATGAACCCGCTGAGGCAGCCACTATTCTGTGCCCCAACTCCGACCATTTAATGTCTCCCCGGTCCCGGCCGAATCCCCCTCTCCGAACCGAATCCCCGAACTCTACTCGGCTCTCCCCCGCCGCAACGCGACGACCCATATGTGTCGAGTATGCGGGCCAAGCATGTGAGGTGCCGCGACTTGCCGGGGTTTGCAGGGACGACTTGGGGCCTTGGTCGTCGTCCAGCCGAGGTCCCATGGCGCGCTGACGTGGGGCGCGGCAACCGGAGGCCACGTGGCCCCGGAGGCCGCAGTTATAGCAGGTGATGACAGTCGTCGGAGATCTCGGTTGCTCCAGCTTGCGGGCCGCTCGCAGAGGCGAACGACCCCCCGACCTCCAGTCCCCCGGTCGTCCCGCGATGAACGCCTCCTCTCGTGGGCTGACGACTTGGGGCACGGTGACAACTGGGCCCGGAGTTGAGGCCACGGCAGCGTTGCAGACGACTCCCTGTTTACGTTGAAGGACCTCGTGCGCTTGTATGCTTGTGGCGACCCGTAAGGACGAAATATCGGTCTCATCGGCCGTGTTGATGGGGACCCCCAGGTCCTGCGCCAACTTGAGCAGCTGCTCCAAAACCATGGCATCTTGGCCCTCCTCGTCCATACGAGGGAACGCGGCGTCGGCGAGAGCAAGCAACGCCGTGCGGTAGGCGAGCACGGTCTCCGTGTCCGCCTTCCGTCTTGCATAAAAATGATGGCGGCACGCCGAGGGAGGACCATAGACCTTGGACATGAGAGCCAGCGCATCCTTGAGCGTGGAGCGGTCCGACCTGCGTGCGGACGTGAAGGCCGCGAGCGCGTTGTCGTCCAGCATGGCAGGCAGTGCCCGCAGTGCCGTAGCGTCGGACCAGGCGGACATCTCCTGATGCGCCAAAAATCTGCGCTGAAATTGGCTCCAATCCCCGCCTTCCGCCTTGAAGGCTGACAACGTGGGAAGGCGCTGCTGAAAGATGAAGTCGTCCTCCTCCTCGTGCTTCCTCTCTGCCGCCCCGTCGGTGTGTAAGATGGCGGCCCCAGCGGCGGGTGTGTGATGGCGGTCCGCCGCGCGCGTTGGTGACGTCAGCGGGCGCGCATGGAGAACCGCTGCCACGTGGTGATGGCCGTTCCCGCCAAAAGTCGGTGCAGATGAAATGGCGGGAATCGCCAAATCGTTTTGGCGGGAATCTGCAGGGCAACCCTGTAGAACGTCGGCCGCCGTCCCCGCTCCTCCCGACGAGCTGATCTCCGCCAGGATGGACGCGGCGGCGAGCAGCAGCTCCGCCAGACGGGAGTGCGCTTCGCGAAGCACGGCGTCAGTCCCCCGTCGCTCGTCCGGCGCCGTCGGCGGATCCTGCCCCGTGGGCAACTCCTCTTCCTCACCCCCCGATGCCAGCTGGCCCGCGTCGTCGAGGTTGTCCCCGTGGTCAATCCCGTGGGTCCGACGGCTCCTCCTTGTATCCATGCTTGGAAGACCGTTTCACTTCTGACGCCAGTTGAAGTATGGGAATTGACGGCAGGAACTTCTTGACGGGAACACACTTTTTATTAAATCTTTACGTGTCAAAATACAACGTGTGGTCTCCTTTCTTCCGACTTCACACTCCACTAATCTCGTGTAAACTCTAGGCCTCTGGCTACACACGATACCCTTCACTCGTGTAGACCCTATGCCTCTGGCTACACAATACACTCGACTCGTGTAGACCCTATGTCCCTGGCTACACACAATGCATTCGGCTCGTGTAGACCTTATGCCTATGGCTACACACACTACACTCGCCTCTGGGTTACACAGAGTCCCGGTCCCGTTAGGACAGCGGGACTAGGTACCGCAGGGCCCTAGGTCTTCATCCCCGTCTTCATTCTTCGCTGGTTACACACTGCTCTCACGCCTGTGTGCATCCCCTTTTATAGCCCCTGCTCACGAGAGACGGAGCTGATGCGTACGTCGACGTGAGCATCGCTCCTTAGTGAACCAATCACGACGCACTCTCTCTACGATCCGTTTTCCCCAGCGCGTGTTAACGCTACCCCGCCAATCACACCGCGCTGCCACCCGGTCACTTCCTCTCAGCGCGTCACCGGCCCACAGCCAATCATTACCCCGTAACCCACGACCCCGCGCTGACCCCTGATCCTCCACCGTCAGCGCGCGTCACCACATACACAGCCAATCATTACTCGCTGGCATACGATCCCTCATCCCAGCGCGTATCACCTCTACATATGCACCATAGTGCATCGTGTACAGCTCGTCGAGATGAGTCGATTGTCGCAACGCCGACCATCAACAGACTACTACATCACAGACATTATGCGAGAGCCGGGGTACTGTGGTACCCCGGGGTACCGCCATAAGGTTAATTTGTGGCCAGATCGCTTCTGAAAAAGAGCTATATAGCTCAGTGGGTCTTACCTGGTAAAAATACAAATAGTAAATGGTTATTATTGTTGTTTACCCGGGAAAGCTCAATGATACTCAAGACTCTTTTTCAAGAGTGTCCTGCCAAGTATTTGGAGTGGGAGGAGGGGGCGATGTTGCTGTGTAATCCCAATTGATTTAAATTGTCGAATATTTTTTTGCTTTGGGATGTTTTGGCCAATGCCAGTTGCAGTCTATGAATCTTCAGCGATGAGGGAGAAACTAACCTAAGAACCCAGAGGAAACCCATACAGAAGAGGGGGAGAACTTACAAACTACACGCAAAAAGACACCTGAGCCAGGAATCGAACCAAGGCTCTTCTTGATGTGAGGCAGGAGCATCTCCGCTGTACCACCTCCGTGCCACCCAGGGCAGAGATTAGGGTCGCAGCTGGAAGCTGGAACGGTGGTGGTGGTGGCACTGTGCATGGAGTGGGGGTGGTGCGCACCTGTCCGGCGTGTGGTTGTGTTGGTGAGGACTCTGTGCCGCCCAGTGCTGGCATTCTCGCCCAGACTCCGTGCGAGACACTCTCCCTCGATAGCCCCCTCCGTTGCAATGCATGCACTCCTCCTGCTCTGCACAACCCAGCACACCACTCTGTGAATTGATACTAAATGTTAAGCAATGTAAGTAATATTCACATCGAATATTTGCACTTATATGCTACTTGCTCACATGCCTCAGCAAATCAAATTAGCTTGCATGACATCTCATCTCAAACATTTGGAGTGGCAGCTGTCCCTGTGCAGCACGAGGTGACTTAGCACCTGGCCTGCAAGTGAGCATTGGCCTGAGAGTAGGGGGCGATGATTGCTGCTGCTGTGTATAATCCCAATTGAGGTTCTTGTTTGGGTAATTTTTCTAATTTGGCAAATGTATTGAATACATTAGATTGAGAAAACACAACACTACAAAATTAACACAACTTTGATTAAGTGATGCTGCATCAACAGTGGTACACATACACAAATAACACCACATTTGTCTATAACCCTGTGGCCTTAAAATAACAAGAATATATATAAAATCAGTGACATTTTGTTTCAGGCTTTCCCAAAGCACATCGTGTAGGGGTTGCCAACTTTTCCAAAGACCAAAGCCCGGACTTATATTTCTCAGTCAGCCCAAGTCTGTCTTCTTGGTTCTTTCGGTAAAGTCACGTAGAAGGGAAGTAATAAAATAATAAAAATAAAACATAATTATTTTATTTTATTATGTTTTATTTTTATTATTTTATTACTTCCCTTCTACGTGACTTTACCGAAAGAACCAAGAAGATGAATCCCTGCAGTCACGAAAGCTTTAAATCGAAAAGCCCAAGTCTGTTTACTCTGCAGTTTGCTGCAATAAAGTTCAACACGATACCGGTACAAGATCTCGGTAAAACATATCATTCCTGCCACTCGAACGCAGATTATACCAATTCCTGGACTATCAGGATCAATTCCAGAGCAGTGCCAACCCTAGCCTCCTCCATACACAAAAGGGCTTGCTACTATTCACGGATAAAGGAGTATTGTTTATCGCACCGATTATGATTCGTTCAGCTCACTTGCCAGTGAGTTGTAGAAGTTGCAACACGATTAGCTTGAAACTGCCTTAAGCGTTTTCAATTAAGGATATTTGCTTAATCAGGTGATAATTCAAGAGACCAGGATGCGTGACGTTCCCAAAAGGCCAAAAGCATAAAAAATCGAATTAAGCGATGGGGTAATTGGAGCAATACAGCTGCACTACTTCAACAATATCGCGCAGACAAGTCAACGCTAAACTACAACTCTCCTGTTGCGTAAGTCAGCTCGAACGGATTGCTCAATTACATCGGAGAAACATTAATCAGATGTAGGGTGACTATTGTACGAAAGCGTAAAGGGACGAGGACGCGCTTCGAGCGAGGGACCCACCACTCTGTGGGACGTCGAGGTGAGGCAGCGCCGGCAGTGGAGCCAGGGGGGGTAGGGGGGCGAGAGGCAGCCCTGGGGGCAGGGAAGGCTGTGGGGGCAGGGGGCCGAGAGGCGGCCATGGGGGCAGGGGGGCGAGAGGCGGCTCTGGGGGCAGGGAGGGCCGAGGGGGCAGGGGGGCGAGAGGCGGCCGTGGGGGCAGGGAGGGCTGAGGGGGCAGGGGGGCGAGAGGCGGCCGTGGGGGCAGGGGGGCGAGAGGCGGCCGTGGGGGCAGGGAGGGCCGAGGGGGCAGGGGGGCAAGAGGCGGCTGTGGGAGCAGGGGGGGCAGGGGTCCCCGCCCGGCCTCTGTCAGGGTTCGGTGGGAGTCGCGGCACTTTGGGATGTCGCAGAACTCGAGGCGTGAGCTGGGGTCCATCGTGTAGCACCACGGCGAGGCCGCTCCGTCCGGGTTCCGACAGAAATTTTCCTCCAAGCCCCTGCATGGGGAATTCGCCATCAGATCGTTTATTTATAAGACTCTACACCTCCGACAATTAATTATTTTACCTATTTACGCAGGAAAGCCACGTAGGGTCCCACTGCATTGGTATGTTTGGTCAATCTCAGTTACATTGGGTGTGTTTTTTAGCTATGGGAGGAAACCAATAAAACGCAGAGGAAGTCTGTGGGGAACGACGGCAGAAAATATAAATGTGCCGTTAAACCTGTCATCACCCAACACAACCAATTATTAAGGTTTGCCACGTAAACAAAACGTGGCAATTAGTTACTAGTCTAGCACACCGGTGTATAGGACAGTAAACTGACAACATTTACAATTACTGGCTGTGTCGGTTGGTGGCGGGTTTAACAACATATTCATATTTACGTGATCAGACCCAAAAACCTCCCTCTATTATGGATAATATTGGTCGCGAAAGCCTGCGACGCGTTATATAGAAACTCCACACAGGAATCGACCTCAGGTCCGTCTTGCTGTGAGGCACGAAGTATTACCACTGCGCTGCCACCACCCTGCTGCCCAACAATTGACGTCAACTTTAGATGTCACGAAAAAAATATATATCAATCACATGAATGATACAAATACATCATCAAAAAAGTCTAAAGTTATTTTCTGCTCAAATGAACATTGAGGCGGTGCTCATCTCCTCGTTATGGCCCCGTAGGAACCAGTGTACAGGACAACCACTGTCGACTTCCCTATAAAGTGGTACTCAATTTTATCGACCCCTGAGGGATGATGGGCTGAGTCGCTATGTGTGATCCCAATTGAGTAATTTGCGAGAAATTTAAAAACAAACTTGATGCCGGTACACGATGGACCTACTTATTTCAAATGAAATCACTGTTAAGCGGACGGCGCCTTCGGGTGTTATGGTGAATATGCTCGCAGTATTAACCAGGGCAGCCTGCCGAACTTGAACCGCTGAACCTCTCTGCGACAAGCGGCAAATATTCTACCAAACAGGCCCGCATCACCGCCCGAAAATTCCGTAATTATGTGCATCATTGTCGATGGTCGTGAGGAGGAGGTAAAGATGCAGTGGGCAATTCGGGCTGCGCACACTGCGGCACGGTGCCTCGCTGGTGGCACAGCGGGTGACTCACCTGCAAGGGTAACTCTCCGGCATTACTCCATGCTTGTGAGGGTACTGGGAGCTCCAGGCTTGGCACTGCTTGCCCGAGCGAGTGGTGGACTGGGTGCCTCGGTAGCTCGCCCCACTGTCCTCCACGCACCGCTGCGAGGAATTCACGGCCGGCAGCATCGCAGGCACATGCTCTGGAAAAACGGCAAAAGTCGGCGTGATCTCCTGCTGCTTAAATGAGCTCAGAGGCGTTTGCGCTCAATGTCTCGTTTACAGCCCTGCAGAGCCAGTGGTGGAAATTCTACATTCCTATGGCGAGGGGCGTGAGTCTGTGCATAGGACAACCGTGGTTGATTTCCCTACAAAGTGGTACATATTTTAACGACCTCTGAGGGATGATGGGCTGAGTTACCACCCGCCACCTTCACAACCTTCCGATTGTGAACTGCTCGCTCCAAAGCTGAGCCACCCAGCCGTATGTAATTGGTTGACTTCCCTACAAAGTAGTACTCATTTATATTTAATTAAGAGATGATGGGCCAGGTCAACCGACAACCAGGATGTGAAACTCACAACTTTCCGATTGTGAGCCGCTTGCTTCGCACTGAGCCATCTGGCCGGTCGTACCAATATATTGGATATCACTCCTTGTTATTGGTGAAAAAGAGCTTCATAGCTCATTGGATTCCTCCAGTATAAATCCATGAGCTGATTCTGTTGTTGAAGTTGCCCAGTAAGTTAAACAACTAATAAATAAAATAATTGTAACCGTTCTGATAGCTACAGGCTTAGTGCTGTGTGGAAGCGTATTATTAAGTAATACTACACTGTTTAATTGCATGCCTATACAGGTCACCATATATTCTATGGGTCTTTTGGTAAAGCCACGCAGATAGAAAAATAATAATAAAAATATCACGACGTATCGATCGCAACACAAGCAATCGTCTTCAGGCGAGAGAGAGAGAAAACTGCTGAGACAAGGTCTTAAATAGGCATGAGATGGGTGCATCAAGGTAGGTGGGTGGAGCTAGAGATGGTCCAACCACAGAGGCTGAGGCAAGTGGCCTTTGTATTGTGAGAGATTAGCCTGTCGGGCGCCACCAAAGCTGTGGAGGTGGTCATTGTATTGTGTGTAGCCCAAGGGTAAGTGGGCGGGGCTAGAGATGGTATTTGCATGTAAATGTAAGATCGGAGGGCGCCCTGAGGCTGTGGAGGTGGCCATTGTATTGTGAGAGATTAGCATGTCAATGTAAGAGAACCACCGCAACGTTGGATGTGCTCGGTTAATAACGTCCTTCCAATGATTGCTCAGTTTGTACCCATCTTCTCGGTTGAAATTGTGTCTGTGTTTATATATCTGGATAGCTTCATGAACTAATCTGTGTTGTTAGCCAGTAGGTTTGCAGAGTACCTTCGTCTGGAAAAAATCAATTTCATGTGTGCCCACAACATTAAAACAATGATCAGTCATGGCTAAGGTATTGGTTCTACCGTGTTTCAGATCTGCCTTATGTTCACGAACACGGTTCGAGCCATGTCGCTTAATTTCCCCAATGTAACTACTGCCGCAGACACAGCTTAGTTTGTAGATACCCGGATATTGCATGTCAGGGATGACATCCTTCACAGATAGGATCAGATCATGAATTTTATGTACTGTGTTAAATAGAACCTGGATCTTGTGTTTGTTCATGATTTTGGAAATCTTTTTGGTAACCCTTGCAATTTCGATTTTTCCACTGTCATCATGGACAAAACAGAATACAACAACAAAATCCAAGAACTACTCAACGATGGCAGCTATACAAAAATAAAAAGAGACCCCACCAACAGCCTTGTCTCAAAAACCAGCAAATCATTTCTGATTCAACCGCATTAATTGATCAGACCAAACAGTTCTCGTTGAAACCTTCTGCAGCCAGGCCACCAAGATTATACGGCTTGCCAAAGATACATAAAGAAGATATACCTCTTCATCCCATTGTCTCTACTATCAACTCCCCCACCTATAAATTGGCTCGTTTTTTGTCTGAAATCCTACGGCCTTTCACTGGAAAAACCACCTCTGCGGTACTAAACTCTACTGACCTGGTATCGACAATCAAGGGGATTGCCCTGTCCCCAGACGACCTGCTTGTCAGTTTTGATGTGGTTTCCTTATTCACCAAGGTTCCTGTACCTGACACCATCGCAATCATTGAAGACTTGGTTCATCAAGGACTGAATGCTGGGGTACCCCCCTGGTGAGACACTGCTTAACCAATACATACTTCACCTGGAATGGAACTTTCTACAAGCAAACTGAGGGCACCCCAATGGGCTCCCCCCTATCTCCGGTTGTAGCCAACATCTTCATGGAGAAATTTGAGACTGACGCCATCCAGACTGCCACTCTACGCCCGACCTTATGGAAGAGGTACGTAGATGACACTTTTGTCATCTGGCCACATGGCCGGCCTGCTCTAGACCAATTTCTCGACCACATCAATTCCATACACCCAGCCATCAGATTCACCATGGAAGTCGAAAAAGATGGCAAGCTACCCTTTTTGGATGTCCTAAATAAAAGGAGACCTGATGGCTCAATGAGCCACTCTGTCTACAGGAAAGCCACCCATACGGATGCTTACCTAAAACTGGATTCCCACCACCATCCATCCCAGAAGAATTCCCTCATCAAGACTCTATACCATAGAGCCCAATGCATCTCCGACCAGGAACACATTGCCAGTGAACTCAAACACGTACGCCAAGCTCTTAAGGCTAATGGTTACTCCGACTACACAATCCGCAAAGCCATCACTCCAACCATCAAGAAGGATCCTGTTGAGGAGCCTTTCAAAACCATCACCTTACCCTACATTGCTGGGGTCACAAAAAAGATCTCCAAAATCCTGATTAAACACAAGATCCAGGTCCGATTCAACACAGTACATAAAATCCGTGATCTGGTCCCGTCTGTAAAAGATGTGGTTCCAGACATACAGTACCCTGGCGTCTACAAACTAAGTTGCCTCTGTGGTAGCAGTTACATTGGGGAAACCAAACGACATGTCTCGGACCGCATCCGTGAACATAAAGCAGACCTGAAACACGGTAGGACAAATACCTCAGCCGTGGCAGATCACTGTTACAACTCAGTGGGCTCACATGACATTGACTTCTCCAAGACAGAGGTTCTCTACAAGCCATCTGGCTATCATGAGAGATTCGTTCATGAGGCGATCCACATATACAAACACAGAGACAATTTCAACCGAGAAGATGGATTCTGGCTTAGCAATTATTGGAAGGACGTAATAAACCATTTCGGATCTTAACTGATTGTGTTCACGTTTACGGTGACTTTCAGACCGCGTTCCACTCACTGGCATTGTATTCTCTGCAGGGAATGGATTCTTTGCTCCGCTGCAAGTCATCCCCCCACGACTCACCGATTGACACGACGATCAATGGTACAGTGTATAATAACAAATAGTATAACATTTATATGCTTAATATAATGTACAAAGTAACATATAGTATCGTAATTGTATAGTAAACATATAGCAGTGTGATACACATTAGGATGGGTAGAATAATACATAGTGTTATATTAAAATGTATAAGGTTTATAGCAATACAGTATATAATTTAATGTTGGGTTTATCTATGGCAGTATATTGTACGGTGTATGCTCGTGTAATGTAAAAGAATAAAGTTTAGATGGAAGCATATTATATAATTTTTACGACGTAGAATTGTAATGTATTACTTGCTGTTAGTAACTCAGCTTATTGTAGAGTATAGTAAATATACTGATGATGCTATGCAGTTTATACTTTAGTTTTTTATGTAGTTTATACTTTAGTTTGCTACGTGGTTGTTTAGTAACTGCAGCTACATACTATTAACATTCCTTTCCTTTGTTAATGCTACTCCCTGCACCCTCCCTTGGTGCTGCTGATCCTGCATAATGCATGGGCATAATATGACTTTGAAACCCCCCCGCCCACCTCCTACGCATTTCCCATGACTATGCTAAATTCCTCTTGATATGCACATTATTTTGTTAAGGTGCTCCTCTTCCACCTCTTACCCAGCTTATATATAAGCTCCTAGCTTGGCAGTGTCTCATTCTTCACCTGAAGACGGCTGCTTGCGTTGTAGCCGAAACGTCGTGAGAATTATTTTGTTTTATTATGTTTTATTTTTATTATCTTATTGCTTCCCTTCTACGTGACTTTACCGAAAGAACCAAGAAGATGAACCCTTGCAATGTATGGCAAGGTGATGGTTTTGATTGGGCCCTCAGATGGTTCTTTCCCAACGGGTGAGGTGATAGCTTTACGGATTGTGTAGTCCGAATATCCATTCATCTTGAGGGCTTGGTGTACGTGCTCCAATTCACTGGCTAGGTGGTGATGGCCGGATATACAACGAGCTCTATGGTGTAGAGTTTTCATGAGGGAATTCTTCTGGGCTAGATGGTGGTGGGAGTCAGGTTTTATGTAGGCATCTGTATAAGTGGCTTTCCTGTAGACAGAGTTGATGTGGTTGAAGAATTGGTCCAGCGCTGGTAGGCCATGTGGCCAGATGACAAACGTGTCATCTATGTATCTCTTCCACAAGGAAGGACGTAGGATGGATACCTAGATGGCATCTGTCTCAAATTTATCCTTGAAAATATTGGCTACAACTGGAGATAAGGGAGAACCCATTGGGGTACCTTCAACTTGTTTGTAGAATGTTCCATTCCAGGTGAAGTAAGTCTTGGTGAGGCAGTGTCTAACCAGGGCAGGTACAGCAGCATTCAGTCCTTGTTGGACCAAATCTTCAATTATTGTAATGGTGTCAGGCACAGGAACTTTGGTAAACAAAGATACCACATCGAAATTGACAAGTCACCTGAAGATAGTGAGATGTCCTTAATTAGAGATACCAAGTGAGCCGAGTTAAGTACCACTGAGGTGGTCTTGCCAGTGAATGGATGTAAGGTCTCAGACAGAAATCAGGCCAGTTTGAAGGTGGGTGAGTCAATGGTGGAGACGATAGGACGGAGTGGTGTACCTTCTTTATGGATTTTTGGTAAGCCATAAAATCTGGGTGGTCTAGCAGCAGAGGGTTTTAGAGAGAGCCACTTGTTTGGTTTGATTAAAGATGCCGAATCAGTTATGATCTTGTTGGTTTTTGTAACCAGGCTGTCGGTAGGATTTCTATTGATTTTGGTATAGCTGCCATCATTAAGTAGGTCCTGAATTTTGTTATTGTATGTGGTTTTGTCCATGATGACAGTGGCATTTCCCTTGTCGGCTGAGAGGATGACTATGTCATCTCTCTTTTTTAGTTGAGAAAGCTCAAAGCGCTCATCCTTGCTGATGTTGCTAATAGGTGTCTTAGCGTTTTTGAGGATTGCAGCGATTTCAGATCTTGCCACGTCTGCAGGAATGTGTCACAAACCCTTAAGGACTACGTCGACCTGGGCAATGATATCATCAACTGGGATGTGTTTAGGGGTGACTGCGAAATTCAACCCTTTAGCTAGAACCGAATTTAGGCTGTTGGAAATTGGGCTGTTACTCTGATTGATCACAATCTTGTCATGTCTAACTTTTTAATGTGTGGATCTGGCTTTGGACCCCCAGACCCGCTGTCCTTCTAAGAGTCGGGACTGAGTGGGCCAGTGGCCAGGACCCGAGGATCTTGGCTGGTTCGGGTCAAGATAGCCTCCCCTAGGGTCCCTAGCCAGAGGGCTGAGAGTTCGTGGTCCCAGTGTTAGGAGGCACGATAGCCCGGACCTTGTATTGAGTTTATTTGTTATATAAAAGTGTTACCTCAAGTACCGGCTCTCCCTCGTCTTTGGGCTCACTACACATTCATCTTGAGGGCTTGGTGTACGTGCTCCAGTTCACTGGTTTAGGCAGTGATGGTCGGAAATACAACGAGCTCTATGGTGTAGAGTTTTGATGAGGAAATTCTTCTGGGCTGGATGGTGGTGGGAGTCAGGTTTTAGGTAGGCATCCGTATGCGTGGCTTTCCTGTAGACAGAGTGTCCCATTGAGCCATCTGGTTTCTTTTCGATTAAAACATCCAAGAATGGTAACTTGCCATCCTTTTCCACTTTCATGGTGACTTTGATGGCTGGGTGTATGGAATTGATGTGATTGAAGAATTGGCTCAGCGCTGGTAGGGACAAAACCACATGCCGCGACACTAAGGTAATACCGATTGCCTTTACACTGACATCTGCTGCCGTCACTTCTCCTAATGCTAAACGGATCTTATTCAGGGCCGGCCTAGCCCTGATTTCAGAGAGAATAAGATTGCTCCGATTTGAACTAGATAATTTAGACAAGACTCTCTTACAATCACACTTAACATTGACAGAAAAAATGTCTACATCTGATTGGGACCATGTATATAACATGACAGCCTCTTCAGCCGCCTCAATGTCAGCTAAATGCAACGTCCTGTCCAAGAAGAAGCCAGATCCACACTTTAAAAAGGTAGATGGTGACAAGATTGTGATCAATCTGAGTAACAACTCAATTTCCGACAGCCTAAAATCGGTTCTAGCTAAAGGGTTGAATTTTGCAGTCACCCCTAAACACATCGCAGTTGACGATATCATTGCCCAGGTCGATGTAGCCCTTAAGGGTTTGGGACACATTCCTGCAGACGTGGCAAGATTAGAAATCGCAATCCTCAAAAAGACACCTATTATCAACTTCAGCAAGGATGAGCGCTTTGAGCTTTCTCAACTTAAAAAGAAAGATGACATAGTCATCCTCTCAGCCAACAAGGGCAATGCCACTGTCATCATGGACAAAACCACATACAATAACAAAATTCAGGACCTACTTAATGATGGTAGCTATACTGAAATCAATAGAGATCCTACCAACAGCCTGGTTATGAAAACCAACAAGATCATCACTGATTCGACATAGCGGCTCTCTCTAAAACCCTCTGCTGCTAGACCACCAAGATTGTATGGCTTACAAAAAATCCATAAAGAAGGTACACCACTCCGTCCTATCATCTCCACCATTGACTCACCCACCTACAAACTGGCCTGATTTCTGTCTGAGACCTTACATCCATTCACTGGCAAGACCACCTCAGCAGTACTTAACTCAGCTCACTTGGTATCTTTAATTAAGGACATCTCACTATATTCAGGTGACTTGCTTGTCAGTTTTGATGTGGTATCTTTGTTTTCCAAAGTTCCTGTGCCTGACACCATTGCAATCATTGAAGATTTGGTCCAACAAGGACTGAATGATGATGTACGTGCCCTGGTTAGACACTGCCTCACCAACACTTACTTCACCTGGAATGGAACATTCGACAAATAAGTTGAAGGTACCCCAATGGGTTCTCCCTTATCTCCAGTTGTAGCCAATATTTTCATGGAGAAATTTGAGAGAGATTCCATTTAGGCATCCAGCCTACGTCCTTCCTTGTGGAAGAGATACGTAGATGACACATTCTTCATCTGGCCACATGGCCTACCCGCACTGGGCCAATTCTTCAACCACGTCAATTCTATACACCCAGGTGGAAAAGGATGGCAAGTTACCATTCTTCGATGTTTTAATCGAAAAGAGACCAGATGACTCAATGGGACACTCTGTCTACAGGAAAGCCACTCATACGAATGCCTACCTAAAACCTGACTCCCACCACCATCCAGCCCAGAAGAATTTCCTGATCAAAACTCTACACCATAGAGCTCGTTATATTTCCGACCATCACCACCTAGCCAGTGAACTGGAGCATGTACACCAAGCTCTCAAGACGAATGGATATTCGGACTTCACAATCCATAAAACTATCACCCCAACCATTGGGAAAGAACCATCTGAGGACCCAATCAAAACCATCACCTTGCCATACATAGCAGGGGTTACCAAAAATATTTCCAAAATCATTAACAAACACAAGATCCAGGTTCGATTTAACACAGTACATAACATTTGTGATCTGATCCCATCTGTGAAAGATGTCATCCCTGACGTGCAATACCCCGGCGTCTTCAAACTAAGCTGTGTCTGCGGCAGTAGTTACATTGGGGAAACTAAGCGACATGTCTCGGACCGTGTTCGTGAACATAAGGCAGATCTGAAACACGGTAGGACCAATACCTCGGCCGTGGCTGATCATTGTTTTAACGATGTAGGCACACAGGACATTGTTTTTTCCAAGACGAAGGTACTCTGCAAACCTACTGGCTATCAACGAAGATTCGTTCATGAAGCCATCCAGATATATAAACACAGACACAATTTCAACCGAGAAGATTGGTACAAACTGAGCAATCATTGGAAGGACGTTATTAGCCAGTTTAAGTCATAACTGACTATGATGGTTCCATCCTACCTGCCGATGTTAGATGTTATTTCTGACTCTCTGAGTTGCCTTGCCAGGTTGGATGTCTTTGCATTGACAGGCTGGATGTCTCACGAGCAAATCCACCGTTGCGGTGGTTCTCTTACATTGACATGCTAATCTCTCACAATACAATGGCCACCTGCACAGCCTCAGTGCGCCCTCCGATCTTACATTTACATGCAAATACCATCTCTAGGCCCTCCCTCTTACCCTTGGGCTACACACAATCAACAGGCTGAATGTCTCACTAGCACATCCACCATGGCGGTGGTTCTCTTACATTGACATGCTAATCTCTCACAATGCAATGGCCACCTCCACAGCCTCAGGGCGTCCTCCGATCTTACATTTACATGCAAATACCATCTCTAGCCCCTCCCTCTTACCCTTGGGCTATACACAATCAATGGGCTGAATGCACATCCAATAACGCCGCGCAATGCAGTGACTGCCAACACGTCTGTCCTCTTAAAGTATTTATTTGGCAGTGAGTCACAACGTGTACAGAGCCGCAATCTGTGAGAATTACAGATATAACACTCACAGGTGACGTTCACCTTCCGGTTACACCCCCACTCCTCATTCGCCCTTCGACCCCTGTGTGGTCTACAGAGACCGGGTGGACAGACGACGACTTGAGCAGCAGCCGGTAACGAAGTCACACGCGCAGTCGGACCTTTACAGCACTGCATAGTCAGAGCTGTGGAGCGGCGGCGTAGTGGTTAGCGCCATGCGTTTCGAACCCATCGACCAGAGTTGGATTCCCGCTCACAACCAATTAAAATGGTGAATATTTGAACCGGTCTTGGGCCTCTGCTAGGTCGACTCAACCACAAACGAGTACCTGGTGTAAAAACATCGCCACGAGAAAGACAAAGGTGGCCGGGCGTGGTGTTGGCCACTCACCCCCTTGCGTGCCGTGCCGGCCTTCATAGGTACTACCCGCTGACATCCCTTTCCCCAACAGCCCGTTACAGGCTACACGGGGGATTTGAGGATGAGCGGTGGCGGGGAGGGCGAGCGGCATGGACTCACGGCATTTGGGAACCGCGCAGAGCTCCCAGCGCAGCAGTGGGTCTGTGGTGAGACACCAGGGCCTCGGCTGCCCGTCCGGGTTCCGGCAGAAATTGTGCCTCATGTCGTTGCCCGGGAATCTGGAGAGAAGCCGTGAATTATGTCTGCTTTGTGCATCTGGTATTCGTGGGATGCATTTTTTTTAATGTACATTAATGTGTGTGTTTTTGGTACAAGGTAATGGTGGTGTGGTGTGGGGCCCTGCTGATGGAGAGGCCTCCGCTAGAGCGAACTGACACATGCAAGGTTCAGTTGACAACACATCCGTGTCACTTGGATATGCTTTGTAGGATTGATGGAGCTATGACTGGCACGCATCACAACCGTGTGCGCCAGTTGGTCGGCGGTGGAGCAAGCATCTCACAATCAGAAGAGTTGCGAGTTCGAATCCAGGGTTGGGGCGTTGACTCAACCCATCATCCTTCCCTCCTTGGATCGATTAAATAAGTACCACAGTGGTGGTCCCCACTGGCCAACGACTGGAAACCGATTATCAGATTTAACAGCACACACACGGGTGTGCAGCGTTGCAGGCACAGCGCTCACATCCTTGTCCAGACCATTAACTCAAAAATAACTGAATGTGTGGCCACGTTGGCGTTTAGAATCACCCCCTCAAAGAGTTGACAAAATGTGGCCATTCTGGCTAGAGGTGACCACCGCCGCAACGCCCAACTGAGTGGGAATTCATTTTGCATGATCAAGAGCCGTTAGGGCGCCGTAGTGGTGAGATGTTAACTCCCCCGCCTGGTTGTGGGTTTGATCCCGATTCTGACACCTGTAAATTTGGAGTTTGTGTGTCTCTCTCCGTGGTTGCGTGGATTTTTCTCCAGGTCCTCCTGTTATTCCCTCCATGTTTAGAATGAACATCACACATTTAAGAATATTTGGCTGCTATAAATGTCCACGTGATAATAAGCCACTTCGTTGAGCGATAATTTGTGATAAGCAGGTCGCTTCTGAAATAGAACTACACAGCTCAGTGGGCCTTACCTGGTAAAATAATTTTTTTGTTTAGTTTTAATAGTTTCAGATTAATGGAGCTGGTGTGTAGAGTGGGTGCTAGAGGCGTGTGTAACCTGTTGGCTGTGAAACTGTGAGTGTGTGGAGATTGAAAGTCCCATCGCTGGCATTCTTTCCCCGATTGCGTTTGAGAAACATTTCCCTGATAATCTTCCCCGGAGCACTGGTAACAGTTTTCTGAAACGAGGAAAAGAAAATATTAACTTTATATGTATGTTGAACTTTTTCGCACCGTACGTAGCCAACCATGCTATATCCCATGATATAGTGGGGCAACTATTTACAGCAAACAGTCTGAACCATATCTTTGCACCGATTCCTACCGCATGCTAAATATTTTAATTTTTACATTCTCAAAAAAGCATCAATGTATAACGTACAAGATACCCATTCGTATCATACACTCTCGGTCCAATAGGGCCAGTACAAGTAGCGCTAACACGGACGTCTCAAGTTCAAGTTGACTTTGTCTGACCAAGTGAGAACTCAAGAAACGAGTCTCACTTGCAAGAATGAGCTGGGTCACAAAATCGTAAAAAGCAATAACGCGAAAACTAAGTACACCAATGAAGTGCAGCCGCTTGCGTTGTATATATTGTCTACGTTGTACCCACGCCCATATTATGGGTCGTCCAACAACGAGCGCGTTTGCGCTGGTGGGATGCGGAGAGTTTCACGTTACGTGTGTTTGGCTGAGACGGATCCCGGCAGGCAGGCACACCGCAGACCTCCCACCGCCGGGCTGGGTCGGTGGTGTAGCACCAGGGCCCTGACACGCCGTGATCCGGATTCCTGCAGAAATTATCCTCTAGCCCTAACTCGGGGTGAGTCCAAGGCGTGAAGCTAACACAGAGCAAAAAACACTCAAAGTTGATTTTGGCCTTCCAATCAAACGCGGAAACAACTCGGTTAAACGTCGTAGTAGGCTTTCCCGACCAATATTATCCATAAGAGGTTTTTTGGGTTAGACCTTGTAAATAGAAATGTGTCGTTAAACCAGCCACCACCTGACACAACCAAATAATAAGGTTTCTCACCTAAACAAAACGTTGCAATTAGTTACTAATTCAGCATGTCGGTGTGTCTTATCAGGCGACAGCCAGAATTGTGGAGAAATCCTCCTCCTGATGAGGCTGGTTGTAATTACCAACGAAACGTCACACTGAAAATGTAAATGTTGTGGGTTTACTCTCCAACACACAACCGGTGTGCCAATTAATAATTAATTGGCACGTTTTGTTTACGTGACAAACCTTACTAATTGGCTGTGTCGAGTCGTGGCGGGTTTAAGGACACATTTATTTTTATGCGATCTAACCTAAAAAAAACCTCTATTATGGATGAAACAACCGCTCGGGGTTTCTGTTGAATATCACAACAGTGTAGGGATGACCACATTTTCTGGTTCTAACGGACAAAATGGCCACAAATTCTGTTATTTTGAGTTGGCGGTCTGGAAAAAGCTGAGTGTGTTTGTGCATGCAAATGACGCATGACTTTATGTGTTGTTGATTCTAAGTGATGTGAAGGATCTGACGCACACGTAAACACATGGAGAGGTGTGTGTGTGCAGCTTGCATAAACATTCTGCCGAGTATGTAGCCGCTGGGAAAATTGAGAAGCCAGTGCACAAAAGTGCAGCGCGAGTGAGTTAAACCAACATGGAGTGTCATCTGTGCTTGGCAGGACCTTGCTTAATGTTTCCAAACCCCCTCTACAAATATCGAGGGCTCAATGAGTCACCTTGTGTTTGGGTGAGCATCACAAACAAGTGAAATGTAGCTGACCTGGGTGAACCGCGCAGGGTAATGATTAAGTTAAAAACGCTGGAATATAAGGTGTAACACAAACATTAGCGTCGTTTACACCATTGAAACCTCATTTGCCAGTAACAAATATGATAATTCTTTTTTTACCCTTCTATCTGGCAACAAAACTGACACTTTTTTTTACAAGGAGTCATGTTTGCATAGACCACAATACCTGCAGTTATGTTTTTTGTTTGCATTATGACTGCAGGTATTGTGGTCTATGCAAACATGACTCCTTGTAAAAAAGGTGTCAGTTTTGTTGCCAGATAGAAGGGTAAAAAAACAATTATCATTAGCGTCGTTGTTGAGGAAGCAAGTAACAGTATGTATACGCAGACACTACGCTTCCATTCCACGTGTGAATTTCCACGTGAAAATATTCCATGTTCTTCTTTCCCCATTTCATCAGCCACATAGCCCCATTCTGGGAGTGGAGAATTTTAGCAGCATTGGTTCAACACAAGTAAAACTCTGGATAGACCGGTTTTGACATGCAGTGTCTGACCAGTGGAGTCAGGCTTGATTAAACCAAAGCTGATGAAGTGCCAGATGTTTATAGGTAAGAAATGGGTCTGCTGGGTTGTGTGGAAATATATATTTAAAAAAATGGAACATTTGTGTGGAAACGTGGATTTTTCACAGTTGTCTCATGGTTGGCATTGCAGATGTCCCCATGCTTGTTTGAACACAGACATGATAATTAGTTTTTTACCCTTCTATCTGGCAACAAAACTGACACCTTTTTTACAAGGAGTCATGTTTGCATAGACCACAATACCTGCAGTCATAATGCAAACAAAAAACATAACTCTGATAATGTATGCACTGTCCTTGAAGTTGATTGGTCCACACCCGAGACAGCTTTCCTTAGAGCCTAAAAGGCTTTCTTTAGAGCCTAAAAGGCTCTAAGGAAAGCTGTCTCGGGTGTGGACCAATCAACTTCAAGGACAGTGCACCTTTTTTACAAGGTGTCAGTTTTGTTGCCAGATAGAAGGGTAAAAAAACAATTATCATATTCTTTACTGGCAAAAGAGGTTCCAATGGTGTAAATGCTTACCCCGAGCTTTCATACTCTGATGGTGCATTGTCTTTGAGTTGTGCGCCTTTTGGCGTCATCTGGTCCAACCCATGTGAGACTAGGCCCTAAGGAAAGCTGTCTCGGGTGTGGACCAATCAACTTCAAGGACAATGCATACATGATCAGAGTTATGTTTTTTGTTTGCATTATGACTGCAGGTATTGTGGTCTATGCAAACATGACTCCTTGTAAAAAAAGGTGTCAGTTTTGTTGCCAGAGAGAAGGGTAAAAAAAAATTATCATATTTTTTACTGGCAAATGAGGTTCCAATGGTGAACACAGACACTTGGATATTGGCTTCTTGACTTTAAGTAGCATTGTCAGTTACCGCTGTGCATTAACTGTTAAGTGCATTAGGTGGGCAGTTGTGGAATCATTAAATGTGTGACATCACTTTAACATCCACGAACATGCTGCATTTTCTTTCTGGTGAAGAAATACACATATCTAGAAACACGTAGTAACGAATTGGCACGTTTTGTTTACTTGACAAAGCTTACTAATTGGCTGTGTCAGGTGGTGGCAGGTTTAACGACACATTTTTTTAATACGCGATCTGACTCAAAAACCTCTGTTATGGATAATATTGGTCGCAAATCTTCCTACGTGATGAACTGACATAGATGCTGTCTGAAAATAATGTGCACATTCTCATAAAATGGCATTTCTATCTCTATTTGGATGAGGAAAGGCATGACACATTACGCATATATAATTAAGTTGGAATGCATGCGATGCAAATTAAATGAAATCACCAGCAACAACGACCGCCCACCTATCAACTGTTATGCGATTTCATGCAACTTCGCTGTAAAATGTGAGACAGAATATTTGGAATATTCACAGCATAAAGGCTTTTGGAAAAATGTCATACTCAATTTCCATGAATTTAAGTGGAATAGCTGGCGGTGGAGATGTGCCAGGATATGCAGCTAACGCCACACCGGCACTTCTCAGAACACCAGATACGTGCATTGAAACTTTACAGAACGACTCCTATTGCTACACCGCGATGTCTCCGCTGCGGAGAAACGGCAGTGACCACGGGCTGCTGATGTGTGAATGTTTTATATCTGGAGTCCTACATTTAAATTTCAACCACTGGACATGAACATTACACATACGTTTAGGTGATTGCTGAAAACATAATCAACCGTCATTTATCTTGCGTTAGTCCACTCGCATCGAGAGAAAGGGAAATACTTGGGGCGGTGTGGCTTGTTCGTGCTCCAGAATTGGCACTGGCGTCCCGATGTTGTTTTGGAGACCGTTCCTCTGTAGGAAATGCCAAGGCCCACCATGCAGTCTTGCAAATAAACTGAGAAATGTTAACACAAAGATACGTTAATCCCGTGCACCTTGCGGGTAGTTTGTAATCATATCCATAAGGTTATACATTACTACATTAAATTTGGATTACACACAGCAACAACAGTCATAGCCCCCTACTGGCAGACCGATGCCGACTTGCAGGCCGCGCAGTTACCTCGTGTCGCAAGGGACAGCTGCCACTGGGGGTGCCCTTTAAATGTTTTAAATGAGATAATAATTTAAATTTATAAAGCGGGCATAAACATGTGATGTAAGGAGCTCTGAGTTGTTAAAGCATTTAAGAAATGCATATACATTCATATACATTCATATTATTATTATGTACTAGTTGTTTGTGTAACTTATCAATGATATAGCGTCACCAACCACCCATGGGTGCCACGGTGGCGAGATGTTAACTACTTCGCCTGATATACAGGAATGTGTAGGTTCGATTCTGACCCACGTGTCTCTCCCCGTGGTCAGATTAATTTTTCTCTGGGTCCTCTGGTTTTTCCCTCCACATTTATAAATATGCATTTCGAGTACTTGGCTGCTGTAAATTTCCACATGATAAGCTGCTTCGTTGAGTTATAATTATAATTTGTGGCCAGATCACTTCAGTGGGCCTTACCAAGTAAAATAAAAAAAGTTTATAGTTTAACTTAAACTCCCTGCCCTTGTTCAGGCATGGGCTCAAGACCTTCCCTTTGCCTCTGTCTATGACTGCTTCTCTACATCCAGTAAATATTCCAGGGTAATTCTGTTCAGCACCGTGCAATGCACTCACATTATTTACACGCTGCTTCAATCCACACGCATTGCAGTTTTATTGTGACCCCGTTGCTAGATGGGGGTTTTGTTTCTCTGTGGATGGAGGCTTATCACAAATGCACAGAACGGAGGTTCAAGCCCACGTCTGGATTTCGCCTGGACAGTCGGGGAACTGGCATCTCTGTTTGGGTAGCAGGTATTGATTTGTACCAAGATCTGGTGCTGGTAATTGTGTGTAACTTTATCACAGAAAATTCCAAAGTTTTGATAGACCTGGGCAAACAAATATGGAAAAGGTGGCAGTCTTTAAGTCCGGAATGAGTCGCCACCACAAATGCCCAACTCCACGTTTCCATCAGTGGCCACACTCCCACGTTTTGATTCTCTGGGATTTTGGCCCTGCACTCGTTTGACGTGTCATGGCAGTTGCGGGAAGCGCCATTGGTTATTTATGTATCTATTTCTGCCATGCCTCTCGCACCACTCCCACTTCATCCATTTTGCCAGCGCACAACGGCGGAGTGCGGTCTGGCAAACTGTGGAATTGCCATTCCACCCCCCGATGCATAACAAAAAAACAATTTTCCACTAAAAACAGCCACCATATCACCAAAATGTGGAGGAATCTCAGCACAAACCCACTGAATAAATTCTACCCTGTGTCTCAAAATACGTCCAGAGAATTTTGTATAAAAGTTTAAACGTGTGATTTATTTTATTTTATACCTACGTGACTTTACCGAAATAACCAAAGAGTAAAACGTTTAAACGATAAAGCCTTTGGTGGCTGCGCAATGGGCTCGTGAATTCCAGATTAAAATACCATGCAAACACCCTGCACTTATATTCGATTCCGTTATTATAAGACAAACATCTTCAAAAATATATATTTATCCAACATGAAAACAAGGCCCTTTTTAACGTTGAGTTTGTCTGAAAAGTCTTTCTCATGAACGTACCGATTTTCTCGTAGAGTGAGGAGCCAGGTTTGGCAATGGCTGTTTTCATGAGGCTGTTGACTGGCAAGGTGGCGCAGTGGTTACTTTCCACATCGTATACAAATGCCCTGCAAACGTGAACAAAAAAAATGGTTATAATCATATTAACAAGAAACAGCACAGTACATGAAGATTCATATGAGATGTTTTTATAATGTCAATGTAAAAGTACGATAATACTGACCTGCAAGTGAACGTGGTTTCGGCATTGCACACTTTGGCACACTTTTCCCAAGTCTCAATGACATACGACAGCTGTGTGATAGATTGAAGGCTCGAGTCTGGAGTTAATTTATACGCTTGAAGTTTGCTCGTGAGATCTGTAAAAAAAAGAATTTTGACATTTTTTGTCTGGGTAATGGTGGAACATAACGTCATGACGCTGCACTATGAACCCAGAAATTTGAGTTGTATTCCTTGATTAACATCAGTGGTAACGTTGCTGCCTGTCTACAAGTTTGACTCGGACAGTCGAGGAATTGGCATCTGTGTTTTGGTGACAGGTTTTTATTTGTAAAGAAATCTGCTGCCAGTATTTTCTTGATCTTTATTGCAGTAAACTGCACACGTCTGATAGACCAAAGGCTGATTGAAAAATACGTTCTGGATTGGTCTGCAGTGGAAAAGTTATCAACCGTGGTGGGAAGTGAAATCCGAACTGCTCCTGGGCTCTCCACCTTCACCAACCCGCACGGACCAGCAGAGTGAAGTAAGCTCAAACAACCCCCATGACCCACAAAGACAATGATCCCCTATGTAGCCTTAACAGATCGTTGGGGCAAGTGCTCTTAGCGAACATCTATGAAGGCCGGAACGGCACACGAGGGGGTGGGTGGCCAGCACCACGCCCGTTCGCCTTTGTCTCCCCAGTGGCGATGTTTACACACCGCACCAGGTACTCATTTGAGGCTGAGTCGACCTCGGGGAAGATGCCCAGGACCGGTTCAGATAATCGTCACTGGTGTTGGTCATGAGTGGGAATCGAACTCGGGTGGCCGGGTTCGTCGTGCAGTAGGCTTAACCGCCGCTCCCACTCGTGATAATATAGTGGCTGTACCGGTTATCTTTGGATTTCTTTTGGTGAGAATATATTTTTCCAGAGGCTCCTTCCATATGAACGTCACCCACAGGATGCAGTCTACATGGTCAGCTGCCCACGCAGCTTCAATGTCGCTCTCACATGCGAGTTCGCACACCTCGCTTTCAAGTTGCTTTACTTAGAATACCTTTTTTATATATATAAAAGCCTTCTCACATAAATCTAGCTAACATTTATAGCACGTCACATTTGCCAGGATTTGACAAGTCAAAGTACAGGAGGAGTGTGTCACATTATAAACAGCAGACTCATTTATACAATACTACATGGTATTAAAATTAACACGATGCAGCAAAGATAATATTATTGACATTATTACCTTGCGCGGCGCTCCAAGTTTCAAATGTGAAGAGACAGAGCAAGGAGGAGAGGATCTGCCAATGCATTTTGCCTGTAGCAGAGCCCAGCTCCGAGATGAAGATTCATCTAGAGTCTGCTCAAAGTCTGCTAGGATTATTGATTTTTTTAAAATAAACGTTCTCTTAATATTTAACAGAACCGTGCTGAGTACAGAGCATTGCTTGAAAGGGGTGACCAAACTGTGTTAAACTAGGAATGTTATTATTTGTGTTCAACTGTCTGTGTGTGTGTACAATGTAGTTGAGGAGCGGCAGTGTAGTGGTTAACCCGAGTTCGATTCCCGCTCACGGCAACCAATACCAGTGACGATTATCTGAACCGGTCCTGGACCTCCCCTAGGTCGACTCATCCTCAAGATCCTCAAGATGAGTACCTGGTGCGGTGCAAGAATAGGTGAATAAAGTGTAAGCAGGTGACCTGTTACGACGTATCAGTCTGAGTGATTTTACAAAACACTACATTTGGTGTTAGAAGTGCCAACAAACCTTCACCATCATGCCCAAGTCTGCTGTGTCGTCCGACGATGACGACGCCGAGCAAAACGTCGTCCCTCCAACAGCTCCAGATGCCTGAGCACCCGCTCCGACGACGTGCTGCAGTTGGCACAGGAGTGCATGGCGGGTCCAGCCCAGCCTCCTCCGCAGAGCTGGCTGGACATCGCCGGTCACCTGGGGAGATTGCTGTCGGCTGCCGCTCATCTCTTCAAGCGGATGACTGCAGCGATTTCCACTGGATGCCAAGACACACTTCCCGCCACTGTCATGACCGAGGCGTCGGGAGCGCTGGACCTTCCTGTCATTTCGGGGGCTGCAGCCATGCTCCACGCGTCCACCATTTCGTGTGATCGGCCCATGCCGCAGCAGCATCTGCCAACTTCCAAGGTGGAAGTCGTTCCCAAGTTCCGACGGCTGCCACCGGTGCATCAGTTCACTGCTGCAGGAGGAGATTGGAGGGCTTTTCATCATCGATTTGAGGCCGCCTACATCTCGGTAGGATGGACATCCCAGGAGGCGTTTCAAGCTCTTTCCACGGATAGAACGACCTTCGTGCACGCCTATGACGAGATGGCTGCTAATTTTGGTCCCCCATCTAATGTTAAAAGAAGATTCAGGCTGCGGCGACGGGACGGGAAAGAGACGCCGCTGGCATATCGCAGTGCGCTCCTTGCTTTGGGGCACTCGGCTTTCCCTCGCATGGACAGAGTCGCCTTGGATTCCCTCGGCTTGGAATGGCTCAGGAGTTGGGGCTCACCCTCGCAGTGGCAGAGGAAGATGACCTGACTTCTCTGCAGGTGGTCCGCGGCATCCAAGCACACCTCAATCTTAAAGACTGGCCGGCGGTGGCGACCAGTGCAACGGAACCGGCCATGTATGAGCAGGCGTGTGCCTTCTTCACCCGGGGAGCGGAGGGAAGGAGCGCTGGCCTGCGCCCATCAGCACGGGAATGGCGCCCCAGGCTGAGCCAGCCACCTGGGCGTCCTTACCGTACCTGCTACAGGTGCGGCTGCCTGGGCCACATCGCCATGGACTGCCACCGCGGGACCGGAGGATTCCCACTACATCCATCATCTGGCTTAAACATCTCCTCTTCCCGCAATATACAGGTGAGTCTGGACGCATCAAACACACGGCCGTTTTTGTCCCATCATCCATCTAGCATAGGTCACATGCGGACTCATCCTGTGGTATCTCATCCCGTCGCAACTCAGAAACAGGGTGCGGGGTTGTCAGTGTGTTGGCCACAGGCGTCGAGCAGTGGAATGCACTGGTTCATCACATAGTGGGTGCCGTGGCGGGTTCCTTTACAGTTGTGGGGCTAATTCAGGGGATCCAGGTTCGTCTCTTGATAGACACAGGGGCCGTTGTGACGATGGTCTCCGGGGCTGTGTTCCGCACGTTGATTTCGTTGTTCGATCCTCTTACCCTCGTGGAGAGCGCTTGTGTGGCGGCTAACGGAGGGAGTCTGGGCATTATGGGTCAGATCTTGGCCTCTGTGCAAATTGGGGAAATCTGTTTGGAAGGAGAGATATTGGTCTCACGGACGTTGGCCATGCCTTGTTTGCTGGGCACCGATTTTCTAGGCAGGATGCCCTTGGAAATTCTCATTGACCAGGGGTGTATTGAACTACCATCGGGACAGTGGTTGCTTTTCCTGAACTCTCCTGGTCAACAGCCATCGCAGAACGCTGTCATTCGTGCGATGGCTAGCCAAACCGTTAAAGTACCTCCGGGTTCTAAAATGCCCATGCCGCTGCGATTGCGCAAAGACTTGCCTTCACCGGGGCCAAAGGACAGGATCCTGCTGACCCCTTCTAAGGCCGTGTCGCGATCTCTTTCCCTAGCGGGGGCTATGGTTATTGTGTCCGCCGAGCAAACGCCGTTCCTACAAGTACTTAATGCGGGGCATGTGCCGGTTGTGATTCTGGCGGGTACTGTCCTGGCTCACGCATCGGCGGCCCAGTGTTTTGATAATGCGGAGCCAGCCCCTGGGTTCGCGGGAAGCATTGGTATACCTGATGAGCTGGATTCCACATGGTTGGAATCTCTGTGCTCCGAGAAGCTTGCACTGAATGAGGTTCAACGAATTCAACTGTGCTGGCTCTTATACGATTTTTCCGATGTCTTTCGCACCAGCAAATTTGATATTGGACACACTCCTCCACCATCATATCAATATGGGCGGTTCGCCCTCAATTTGGATAAATTCGGAAAGACTTAGGCCCGTGGAGAAGGAACAGGTTTGCCAGGTTGTTGATTAGATGCTGGGCAGCCGATATTATTTCCCTCTCCAACAGCTCGTGGGGGGCGCTCATAGTCCTAGTGAAAAAACGTGATGGGAACTTACGGTTTTGCGTTTATTCTCACAAGTTAAATAAGATATCAGTGGCGGATGCATATCCCCTCCCTCGTACAGTGAGGGAAAAAGTATTTGATCCCCTGCTGATTTTGTACGTTTGCCCACTGACAAAGAAATGATCAGTCTATAATTTTAATGGTAGGTTTATTTGAACAGTGAGAGACAGAATAACAACAACACAATTCAGAAAAACGAATGTCAAAAATGTTATAAATTGATTTCCATTTTAATGAGGGAAATAAGTATTTGACCCCCTCTCAATCAGAAATATTTCTGGCTCCCAGGTGTCTTTTATACAGGTAACGAGCTGAGATTAGAAGCACACTCTTAAAGGGAGTGCTCCTATACAGGTAACGAGCTGAGATTAGAAGCACACTCTTAAAGGGAGTGCTCCTAATCTCAACTTGTTACCTGTATAAAAGACACCTGTTCACAGAAGTAATCAATCAGTCAGATTCCAAACTCTCCACCATGACCAAGACCAAAGAGCTCTCCAAGGATGTCAGGGACAAGATTGTAGGCCTCCACAGGGCTGGAATGGGCTACAAGACCATCGCCAAGCAGCTTGGTGAGAAGGTGACAACAGTTGGTGCGATTATTCGCAAATGGAAGAAACACAAAAGAATTGTCAATCTCCCTCGGCCTGGGGCTCCATGCAAGATCTCGCCTCGTGGAGTTGCAATGATCATGAAAATGGTGAGGAATTAGCCCAGAACTACACGGGAGGATCTTCTCAATGATCTCAAGGCACCTGGGACCATAGTCACCAAGAAAACAGTTGGTAACACACTACGCCGTGTAGGACTGAAATCCTGCAGCGCCCGCAAGGTCCCCCTGCTCAAGAAAGCACATATACATGCCCGTCTGAAGTTTGCCAATGAACATCTGAATGATTCAGAGGACAACTGAGTGAAAGTGCTGTGGTCAGATGAGACCAAAATGGAGCTCTTTGGCATCAACTCAACTCGCTGTGTTTGGAGGAGGAGGAATGCTGCCTATGACCCCAAAAACACCATCCCCAATGTCAAACATGGAGGTGGAAACATTATGCTTTGGGGGTGTTTTTCTGCTAAGGGGACATGACAACTGCACCGCATCAAAGGGACGATGGACGGGGCCATGTACCGTCAAATCTTGGGTGAGAACCTCCTTCCCTCAGCCAGGGCATTGAAAATGGGTCATGGATGGGTATTCCAGCATGACAATGACCCAAAACACACGGCCAAGGCAACAAAGGAGTGGCTCAAAAAGAAGCACATTAAGATCCTGGAGTGGCCTAGCCAGTCTCCAGACCTTAATCCCATAGAAAATATGTGGAGGGAGCTGAAGGTTCGAGTTGCCAAACGTCAGCCTCGAAACCTTAATGACTTGGAGAAGATCTGCAAAGAGGAGTGGGACATCCCTCCTGAGATGTCTGCAAACCTGGTGGCCAACTACAAGAAACGTCTGACCTCTGTGATAGCACTCCCTTTAAGAGTGTGCTCCTAATCTCAGCTCGTTACCTGTATAAAAGACACCTGGGAGCCAGAAATATTTCTGATTGAGAGGGGGTAAAATACTTATTTCCCTCATTAAAATGCCAATCAATTTATAACATTTTTAACATGCGTTTTTCTGGATTTCTTTGTTGTTATTCTGTCTCTCATTGTTCAAATAAACCTACCATTAAAATGATAGACTCATCATTTCTTTGTCAGTGGGAAAACGTACAAAATCAGCAGGGGATCGAATACTTTTTTCCTTCACTGTATGGACGACTCGCTCGATGCATTGTCAGGCATACAATTTTTTTCGACACTCGATTTACTGTCCGGTTTTTGGCAATTGCCCATCGACGACGAATCAAAACCAGCCACCTTTCAGTGATTGATGGACATGTTCCTCGCAGGATTGCAATGGGATTCTTGCCTAATTTATTTGGATGACGTCATCGTTTTTGGTAGTACCTTTGATGAACATTTACACCATATGCGTGCTGTCTTTGAGAAAGTACAAGCGGCTAAGTTGAAATTCAGATATTGGTTAAATACTTGGGCCATATAGTTAGTGCAGCCAGGGTTGCCACAGATCCGGAGAAACCCGCGTGCATGCGCACGTGGCAGGCGCCAAAATCGGTGGCGGTAGTCCGCAGTTTCATCGGATTCGCTTCTTACTACCGGCGTTTTGTTAGGGATTTTGCCACCATCACTAAACCACTATACACCCTCACGGCCAAG